AAAAAAACTATATAAACAAAGAGGTTGTCTAGATATACTCCCTAAGTGACGACTAAGTGCTAGGCCAAAGCTGGTTAAATCGAGTCCATGCTCAGATCATTACAGAGATCCTAAATCTTGCAAACAACTGATCAAGTAAACTCTTCATCATGATTTAGATGTTTGGTTTGTTTTCTAATATGAACTAAAAAAAATGAATTTGGATGACGGAAAATAGTAATTTGTGTAGATGGAAGGACATACAAAGCCCCCCCCCCCTCCTTTAAGAATCATTACCTTGTCTAGACATGCTGGTAATCGATTAGTTACTTTTTACGCTTTTGGCCTTTATCCTTGGAGATGACACAAGCCAATTTAGTCTACTTTTTTCGTTCTTACAAATTTTTATCTAAAATGGCAGGGCACACATTTTTTATCTATGGCCACAGCAAGTAATTTTTATGGATGACATCCGCGCGCGCATTAATTTTCGCCTGATATTGCCTTCTGACAGTGTTCAATATGCCGAAAATGGACAATATGCCGAAGATGTCTGTTGCCATGCCGGAGGGTGGATGACAGATAACTATGAAGAGAAAAGGCTCTGATTTAATGTTTTGTTTCTTACTTTGATGCGGAAATATGTGATGTTGGCTGTGTATATGTGATGTTCGCACTGAATCAAAACCATTTGCACACTGATTGAGTAAAAATTTTTAATTTTAGAAACCTGTTTTTTTTCGGCCCGCCTTGTTTTTTTTTCGCCCGCTCACATTAGATTTGGAGTCTACGGAGGATGTCATCCATAAAATTACTTGCTGTGGCCTAAAAAATTTAAACTTGATTTGGGGGGATTACTCATCGTATTTAACAAATTTTGTTTACTATATTGTGGGTACTAAGATAGATTATCACCCTTCAGACCCTTGCCTCTTCTCTGACTATCATCATGTCTATATTTCAATCTGGTATTTTTTTCAATCCCCGGTACCAAAATTGTATTATGAGAGTACATATCTACCTCGGCCTTCATTCGCCTGCAATATTCAACATCAACGATAAACTGTGGACTCCACTTGGAAGCTTTCACAGTGAGTGTGGATCCAGGTTTTCCTCCTTGGTCTCCATGGCAGTAGAGGCTGACGTTCATATTGAGTTTCCTGAAGTAGTAAAGCTCCCGAAAGAAATCTGGACCCTGTGAGGTTACGAGACACTTAGTGGGGAACATTATAAAGCCTGTTTATCGATTATCAAGATGGCAAAGGTCCTACCGGGAATGACTGGGTGACTACATCAACGGTTCTTCTAAAACACTGGACCCGTAGTTTTACGTCCAATCCCAACAATATCAACCCTAGAGCTTTCGACCAGTCACTGGTCTTCCTCAGTAGACTGGCCCAGTGAAGCTGAAGTGGCTTCTTTGAAGTGTGACGTCAACAATGGGTCAAAGGTATCTGGTAGACGATGTCGACCCCCGTCGCGGTTCAATGTAGGGTGATGGGCCCTGATGTATATGGCTTCCTTCTCGCCTCTCAAGAAATAGTCCGTGTCTAAAATCCTTACAGTGTCAAGTGAAACAAAATGTCCGGGTGGCTCTATGTGAATGTGTTGAGACACCTCTGAACTAGCAGAGCTAGGCCGTGTATGTTCTTGAAACCTGGCTTTTAGAGACCTCTCTGTTTCCCCAATGTACGTTTCCTGACAGGGCCCCTTCTTGTTTTTGCCCTGGCAGGGGATGTGGTAGATGACACCACACTTCTTCTCTTTGGGGGTTTTGTCCTTGGGAGCAACAAGAATGTGTCTTAAAGTAGTGGTTAGTTTGAAACAAGTTGCAATTCCGTGGGAAATGAAAATCCTCCTGAGAGCTTCAGACAAGTCCTTTATCTATGGAAGGACTACCAACCCCTTGGACTTTGTTCTTGATGAAGGTTTGTTGTTGGTTGCCACAAGTTTTTAATGCTTGGGTCAGGTGGGACTTCTCGGTCTCTAAATCCTGCGGGTCTGACACAATGGTGTTGGCTCTGTGGAATACAGTCCTAATCACCCCTAGTTTGAGGTCAAGTGGATTGTTAGAGTCAAAGTTTAGGTATTGATCCGTATGTGTGGGTTTTCCGGTAAATCATTATCTGTAGTGACCCATCCTCCCGTATCACTGTAAGGGTGTCAAGAAAGGGTAAATATCTGTTCTGTTCCTCCTCAGTAGTAAACTTAATGTCAGGGTCCAAACTGTTCAGAAAGTCTGTTAACTCCTGTGCATGTACTTTTTTCAACTTCGTGTGGGTGTCATAAAATCAACTTCACTTATCCACCTTCACTGCGTCAGTCTACTGAGGAAGACCAGAGTGACTGGTCGAAAGCTCTAGGTGAGAGGATTTTTTGTGTTGAAACAAACGTTTTAACTTTAAACATGTAACTACCAACACAGATGGACTTTCATGATAGTAATGTCATCCCTAAGTAAGACCAACAATTTCCAATTGTCGCGGGATTATGACCTAGAACATCTAGATATCTAGCCGAAAACGACAATCACAATACCTTATTCATGTGATAAACAATACCAAAAACTACATTAGTGTAGCCTCACCTGTGCTGCAATTTTCTGCCAGAAGGACTTGTTGAACGTTTCATACAGACGGTAATCCACGGCCTTCCATTTCCGCAGGTTTGCCAGTTCCTCAGGGGTGGGGGTATAGGATTTATACGAGTAAGACGCCATGTTCTTTGGTTTAATGTCATACAAGACGTCTTGTATCTCCCAGCACATGAGGCGTCTAAGGAGAACGAAAGACTCGTCTAGGTGTTCCGTCAGCATGACTAACGTGAAGTCGTTTTCCAATTCTTCGATGTATCTTTCAGCTGCTTCCTGAAGATCATTTCAAAGAACTGTATTCACTGCTTAACATTTAATGTTATTCTCTTTTTTCGACAGCAAATATATATCTTGTATGGATATACATATACGAATTTTGCAAATATTTACCAAGAACAAGGGTCCCTTAGGTTGTATTTCGGTGAAAACATAACCTACACTTTATATGCCTTGCTAGTATGTTTTTGATGAGAAAGGGAGGTGTTGAAACTAAATATTTTAACCGAGAGAGCTGCAGATAATGCTGATGTCCGTAGGGTTATTTCCCTTTTGTAGACATTGTTGCGTATTACTACCGGGGCCGTCTTGAACTGGACCATACCGTCAAATTGGGTGACTAAAGAAAATAAAGAGGTAAACTATTTTTTGTTTAATTTTGTACATAGCTGATTGCACAATAGGTCCTTAGTTTTGTCTAAATGTTTTGTACATAGGGCCGATGGAAGAATCCCTTCCTGACTATTGGAAATATTTTTTTTCAATGATGTAAATAAGGAATTTGAAACTAAAGGGAATGATTAATTTTCAAATACGATATACCTTATTATTCTTAGATTTTTTTCAGTTAGTGTAGGGCACGGGTAGAGATTTATAAACAGCAAACAGAATGCGAAACTATCACACCTCAACGAGCAGTGATTTTGTGGATTTTACAGAAAAGCTTTTCGCTCAGTTAGGCTTCCAAATCAGTACTGTACTAGTTTGTTACGCCAAACCGTACTGTAAATGTACTCCTCCTGATCTTACTGTATTGGTCAAAGCTGCTCGAAATTAATAGCTGTAACGGGTGCTATAATACGGAAAATACATTTGCCGAGCAGTACTAGTTGCGATATATATGCAAGAGATATTGACTAACTCCGCGGTATATACTTATCTATTAGATCGTATCGAACAACTATTTGCCTAACTCGTTTATAGGGAAGAAACAGATGTCTCAAACAATGCACAAACTTGGCATATTTGATATGGGGTAACGTCCAATTTTCATACATGTCGGATTGAGATAGGCTTCGATCAGATTTTGCCATGCTAGTTTAACCCTGAACAGTACACCTGGGGTCCGCGCGGACCCCAGCACTATATATGCTGTAATATCTTTTTGTTCTAAAGATTTTTTCTGAAATTTTAGGTAATTGTCACCCACAAAGTTGTCTATCAATACATTGCAGAAAACTCCGTTCTACCATTTATAAAAAGAATTATATCTGATTTTCTTTTGGGGTCCGCGCGGACCCCAGCCGGCTTTCGATCATAATGGATACACTGGCGTTCTTATACATTACCTTATTTCCGTTTTTATATGTTTTTATGCACTCATCGTATGTCTACCAAGTTTTCAGAGAATGGTGTAGTAATAGAATTAGATTTTAATAACTTTGGTGAAATTATGACGTCATATGACGTCAGAGCTAATAATATAGTCCGCCA